GTATATATAGCTGGGATTCAGTTAGTGACAAATATCACGAAAACATTTACCTTTAAAAAAGGTCTGAGGTCTCTAACGCACATCATCATGGCCTTGCGTGTGAGTGTCTCGTATGTTTTTAAGTCAAGTTTTTTTCGGTTGTAATCCCCCAAATATCCCTGCGTCAGTGTGGATTGCTTTTTGACTGGATTTGGGGAAGAATCGTCCATACTGACGGACTTGTGTTTCCATGTTAAGATGTTGTCTCATTGAGCTTGTTGAGCTCCCTGCATAACTCAGCATAATGCCGCAAAGGCGACACTTGGTTTTGTGTTTGGAAGTGGCAAGATCGAAATATGCCCATGTTCGACCTTTTCTGATCCATCACTGCACACGTTGTCACGTTTAGTTTATAGTTATCTTCCTTTGTCGGGTACTCGAGTCCTGGAATTTGGACTCGAGTCCTGGAGTACCCGACCCGTTGCCGGGTACTGGAGTACCCGTCAGACCCTATCTGCAAGCAGTTACCGGGTACTCCACTTTTGCTTTGGGGAGCCCGCCCACCAATCATCCCGAAAACTAAACCTAAAAATATTCCAAACAAAATTAACAACAACAAAATCAACCCAGTAGCTAGTCAGCCCCCAACACTTCTGGTATAATTCCTAATTGAAAATTCATACAAAAACTAATTATGGAGCCCCTTCACTTTCTTTCGGTAAAATAACCCTTCCCTCGACCAATCCCCAAGTGGCTTGGCGGGACAGTGTGCGAAATTACCATATGGGAAAGCGCACGTAAAATCACCATCATTATCATCCCATCAACACAACACCTCCTTGGGAAATTCTCATTCCAACCAGCTTTGGCCAAAACACGCCAACCACTAAAACACAACAACTCAAACCAACACACATGCACATATCCATTGTCTAAAAGCCAATCCAAACTAATCTTCCAAACGTGACAAAGCAAGTACCAAAAATATGTTTCTATTCTTAAAGACCTACTAAAAAAAGAACATAGCATAAAGTCTAAAAATATAGACAGGACCATATAATTCCTCATAACCAACTAGTACCAATATAAAAACAATCACTCACCTAAAGCACATTACCTGAAAACAATACAAAGACGGAAACAAAACAAATTCCCACCAAACCACCCCGTAGTTTATCTCCCCTACCACTTCTGGTAAATATCCTAAATCAAAATTCACAGAAAAGGTATTTATGCAGCCCCACTTCATTGTGCCATATCTTTCGGTCAAACCACCCCTCTTTCGGTTATTCACCAAATGGTCAAACGTAATGCGAAATATGCATTCTCATATGTTCTATGATGAGAACTTAAACACGTGCAAATTCCAAACATGTTTAGTGTGTAAGGACAATACACGCTGATGTAGTCCCTGTCGTATATTTTATGGACAATACTATATCAAAAAACCGAGCGGGAGATCACCAACCACTAAAATGTAGGTCACCATACTAGAGACCATGGGGAACTTACAATACTCTTGCTACCTGCATGGACCCTTGCTGGATTTACACCATTCCTTCTGTTACTGGTGATTGGAGACAAATATAGCCTTGAATTAATATCACAAATATTCTATGATTATATTGGGGTAAGAGGAAATATATTTTGAATGTTTCTGGACTTACGCAACGTCTCGGGAGGACAGTAATTTTACAATACTGAACCCTCTTTGAGGATACTTCCACTAACAATCTCAGTTATGAATTTACTCTACCAATTTGAAAATGACATACATCTATCTACAAATTATATCAGTTTTTTTCAATTAAAAAAGCCATTATTAAATGAAAATTAACTGTAGTAAAAGATCCTTAACTGGTTTTACATTGAAATATTTATCCCTTGTGATTGAAAAATCAATACAGTCAAGCAGGACATGCCTGACAGTGATTCTTTCTTCACAAGGGACACAAAACGGAGGATCCTCGCTATTTAGTAAATATTCCTGTGTATATCGAAGGCAAGAAAGAGAGTCTGAAAAGATTATGTATTCTTTATATTTACGGTGTTTATTGATATATTTAAGAGCTGTTTATATGGCGTTATCTTCTGCTGTGAAAATGGAGCTGTCCGGTAATCGAGAAGATATTGGTCTGAAACCAATGACAAGCAGCTGCGCCAGCATCCTTGGACCCATTTTTAAAGAAGGATTTGTATGTATTATAATTATTTCTTAATTGATTATATTCCTGTCTATATTGTAATTCATTGGTTTCTGACTTTTTAATGTGGTGAAGGAAAGGTCGATTTGGGGCCTTACCTAAAACATCAAATATAGCCACGTGAAGAAGAAGTCTTTCCTGCTGACATCTAATTGATTGTCTTCACTGAATAGATGTACCTTGCTTTTACTTGTTGACTGTTTTGATTATTGCCATGGGCGTATATAGACGAGTATGTGTTAGGTCATTGAGGAAACAGTCAACATTTTCGTCAGTGTAATTGTATGATGGTTCAACAGCAAACTCTATTAAGCTACTCCACACAAAAGCTGCGAACGACTTTCCACTTTGACGTCATGTCTGCTAATTAGCTGTCGGTAGTGCGAGAAATACTTCTTCAAGGTATTTGTATTAACAATGAATGAATATGTTTTCAATGTTCATCTCCTTTAATGTGGGGATTCCTTTGACAATATATGCACGGTATCTTACTACATACATATATTGCTTCCTTCAGGATTGAGTTTGCCAACTGTGCCTTTCAAAAAGTGACTAACCTCACAGAGTGTTCGGACACTACTGGCGGCATTTTTTGCCAACTGCTGCTTAGCCTTTAGGAGTGTCCATGAACTTACCTGGCGAAGAAGTGTAGGAAGACATCATGTAATGCCTATTTGTCAATAAAGTAGTCAGCATTTAGATCATCGGATTTTTATTTTAACATTGACATTTTCTCTCACACACACGCATTAAACCCAGCGTTTTTTAATACACCACACATGCTGAAACATCAACAATCAACCCACCGAACAACGGAGAGACGTCTATGGATATACAACTTTTGTATTATTAATTTTTGAGTGCAGCTTCTAGCACCGTAATCAAGCTTAGTGCAACTATCCCCGTTGTTCATCACACCAACTTCTAAATGCCTCTCAAAGAAGTTAATCAACCCAATGTCGTGGTTTTCGGGGCGGAAGAGGAAATATATAAGTTGATATGGCACCTCAGAGAGAGTTGTTATACATAAATACATATACAAGAAAGATCTTCAAACAGTGATTTTCCTGCCCTTGCCCGTCCACTACTATCTTAGAAAGACCAGTGTGGATTGAAACAGGAACATTGTCAAAGATGACAGATAGGACATGTTCATGAAATCTGCAGTATCACCTGTTTCCTTAACAAAACCACCATGCATCCACGCTTTAATAGATTAATAGAACTTCCACCTCCTTTGGCATTGGCAAGAAGACAATCTACAAGGCTCTCACAGGTAACAGGTAAGTCTTTCATTTGCCTCCATGTGAATATAGTTTCACATAATATGTACGACGTGCATTTTGGAAAAGCAGAGTATGGGTATTTTTCCGTATTCCAAAACAAGGTTTGGATTTCTCTTGGCCTTTGGCTGGAGGAAAGAGAAGGACGATCTGGTACCTGTGTACTTTGAAGGGGTGATGGCATAAGAGATCCTGCAGTGTTGGCTGCAGCCCAACAGCCTAAACACTGGAAATTCGGACTGTACCTTTCGCCTACAATTGATACAACCATATACCGAAATGTGCACTTGTCCAGAAGATACAAAGTACCTGAATCAGTGGGAAAATAAACATTTACAGAAAATAAAACACTGTAGATAGACACTGACAATGAAAGATTTGCAACATCGTGCCTTTTTTAAAACCTATAGTTGTAAGAGTTTCAATGGCATGTGCCTCTATTTTATTGCAATATTTGAATTCTTCAACGTAGTGTTATCTAAGACTTTGCACAGTTTCTATTGCCTTCGGATTGGCAAAGAGATTTCAAACTGTCACACTATGTGAATGTTTCCTAATGTATTTGATTAATTTACAAAAAAGCCAATTTGCCAAAACTATGATTTTCAGGTATTTATCTGTATTGTTGTCTTTTTGTCATTTAATTAAATAAAAACAATTCAGAATATGCCTTAGCACCATTGGTGATGGAAATTAACTTAACAAATGAAGGATTTGCACAGCTAAATCAAAAGTCGTAATTATATATTTTGGCCTTGGTGGGGTCAAGTGACATGATTTTTTTATAAAAACTGGACCATATCTGGTCACCACATCATGGTCTATGTAAATGCGTGCGTGCGTGCGTGCGAGTGTGTGTGTGCGCGCGTCTGTTGGGAAAAATGAAAGCCAGCATTGCATGATACGAAGGCAGGATGCAGGTTTATTTTCACCAGGAATGGTTGCTTCAAAATGGCAAACTGTACAAACAAAGGGATAGGTCTCAATAGCACATGTATCGTCGACCTATCACATTTACGAATTACCTCTAGTAAATTTGTCATGCATTAGTTAAAAGTGATCTACAAATCCATGCTGAAAACATTCAAATTAGAAGTTACCAATGATTTTGTAAGTGGTATTACGAGACAGTAACTTGGACAAGGAATATAAAGCGTCAGAGTTCATTGCCCCTGTGGAGTTATTTACAGATTGCACAACAAAATCTGGGTAGTGCTGATTTTTTGTTGAGTTTCGAATAAGGAAAAAACACTTTTATGTACATACTTTTTTAATCAGCAGATATTTCTCAGTTATATGGAAATGTGTTTCTCGTATTTATCTAAAATTTTAAGAACAGACCTTAGTTAATTTATTTGATCACCGACTAACAGCATGACATCTATACTATCTCTGGTTGTAGCCCGGGTCATTGAAATTATAGGTCAAGAAAGGATTTCTTATTCAGAGGAACTACCTACATGAATGACTCATAAGGCTCGCGTCTGACACTATATCATTCTCTCTCACCGATAATACAAAACACAGATAATAGTAATGATAGACTAATTTATTCCCAAACAAACATTACTTAGAGTATCGGTCCAGTTTCCTCACTGTCTGCGTGGAGGTGTGACGTCGTCTAAGCACGCACATCCAACACCAGCTGCCGTAAGATGGCGCCGGTACGACCGGAAGAGCACTCTGTCAAATTGGTCACACTTCCTTGCACACAGTTGGCAAAGTTGGCGGAACTGAAGGCAGAACAACCGGAGTTAGTTACAAAGTACGCATAACCTGTCACCAAAAACACATTCATAGTATTACTGAGATTCCACTGATTTTTTTCTCTAATATTTAATGAACGTTTAATGGCATGTTAATACGTCATTAAAGTTTGATACAACCGGGTCATAAGGTATCATTATTATATACCTATGAATAATATTGACCATTTTGCACATACAATACTGTCTGTCGGCATATGTCCATATTGACCACCCGGGCCGAAAATGCATATAAGGCCGTATTGTCCGGGTGATCGTGATAAACTGGTACGGACTGAATACACGCAAACCCTCGACATGTCAATAGACGGAACCCAGTTTATTTTAGAGTTACGTCCCTTAATGCACAGACCCACGTGTCTTGCGAAGATTAAAGATTAAAATCTTTGTCTTTTTTTGGGAGATGACCCCTGACTCGAAATGCTTCACAGTACAATACATTATGACAAGGCCGGACACTTCGGTATACTCCACCCGCTTGCTTTGACGATCGTTACGCTACCATTGCATGTAATCGGTTAAAACCTAATGTGAACATAATCATGGACGATAGGCCTATCGAGCACCAATCATGAAACCTACCAATTCTTTATTGTTATTTCTGCAAGTCGATTGAAACCCGATTTTGACTCTTAACTAAACGATCTTGACACAAATGGATGACGATATGTCCGCACAGAACGGGGGTATGGTCGAAGCAAGCCCTCTGATTGGTCAACGCTTGCAAATCTGCAAGTCTTTATAAATTCGCGGGATTTTTTTCTTTCATCGACTGCTTAATGTAAGAATATTTTTCGAGCAATGGCTTCTCAAAAGAAAGCATCAGTTGTAAATGTCTCCTAAACAAGGATCAACCAACCAGAGGGCTTGCTTTGATCACCCCGTTTTGTGCGGACACATCGTCATCCATTTGTGCCAAAATCGTGCCTTAATGTCGTATATGATAAAATGTTGATATGGTAGTCCACAGGCAAACTGTGGTTGTGAATTCAAAACAAAATAAACAGGCTGATATGAAACAACAGTGGGGCTTGCTTTTGTGACCTGGCCCAAACCACCCCTCATCCTACTTAACAATAATACAGATTATCCAATCAAAAAGTGTGCACGACCATCTAATTCCAAGCTCTTGTTATTTGTTAACCTGACACGTGTCGAATCACAGCTAAATAGCAGTGGTAACAACTCAGGTAATCTAGGGCAATATGCTGACAGAATTCTCTGCTGTTTGAGTTGGTCAAATATATATTCCCATTGTAACACATCAAAATCTATTCCACAATTCAAATGACAACTGTTCACGGACACTAGTCATATCCTTGTATTATCATGAGCTGTCTAGATGTGCACAAGGTACATAAGTTCATCTACCCAGGTAGATGTCAGGCCTTTACTCAGAACATGCCAATGTAAAATTGAACAGACACCCTACCTGGATTGACGTGAACATGAAATAAAAGCCCCAGGCAAGCGATCACTGGTCCAACATGACGCATCGTCCTCGATTTCTGTAAAAGTAAGATAACACATACTGTCAGTGCAAAAGAATAACCAGTCTAGATTATCCACGGAAACTGATTTCATTTGTTGTTGTTTTTCAAAGGACAAATCTGTGGAAACTATATGAATGGGCGACTGAAATTCAGTGATGACACCAGGTGTCTACATGATAAGCATGACTATTCTTCCGGCAGCAGCCACCATTCAAGAATTGTGCATCAAAATGAGTGGTTATTGTTTTACGCCATAGCAGTACTCGAGTGACGCCAGTATAAACAAATAGAGTGATCGATCAGTGAAAACCAGATAATAACCCATACCTTCTGACACTTATTTATAAACATTTGCCACAGTAAATCGTTTTAAGTTTGGGTAGTATTATTTGTGCCCATTTACCCTGAGGAATTAACCTGTTTTCCATCACAACGGATAACTATTTCAAAGTTGCATCTATGAAGGACCGTTTTGTTAGTTTTCATTTAATAATTTTTTTAAAAGAAATAGAATCGTTTGTGAAATATTCAGTAGTATCTTTTGCAGATATATGTTGTTACATAATTAGTAGAGTAATTTGGCAAGTTGAACTTATGTTGGTAGTAGCTCTATTCTCAAAGGGGTTAAGGTATTGTAAAAATATTGTCCTCCAGATAGGGTACTTACGTCGAAAGTTTTAGGCATATCATGTTTTCATTGTAGTAATGGCTAAATCTGAGTTTTGGTCCCATGCAGATAGCAAAAGTATGTCCCCATCGTCCCTGGTATGGCGACCTACCTTTAGTTGGTTTCGAGCTGTAGCCCGTTTTTATAGTGTACTGTCCTAAATAGTGATAGTTTGTAAAACTGCATGCAAGCTAGTTTTACTTCTATTTCTGGTGTTTACTGTGACAGTCCTAATTAGTGATAGTTTGTCAAACTGCATGCAAGCTAGTTTTACTAATATTTCTGGTGTTTACTGTCCTTTGCCGAGAGATTATGTATAAGAAAACTTTATTCATTATCAATGTGTGACTTGTTTTAGTCACCATATTGCGGAAATACTGCAAGTGTCGCTACCTCACTCACTCACTCACTCATATATGAAACTGTTCAAGGAATGCTGCACATGCGTATACCTGTTCTGTGGCTGCAGAAGGTATTGAGGACAATAAACAGAATATCGGGTGGGTATCGGGAATAACAAGCGAACTCGTCGGAGAATCGACATCCTTCTGCTCTTGACATTGTCTGTTGGCTGGAAACAGAACATAGTTTAATTACAACTGTTTCGAGCAGTAATAAAGGTAATATGACAATGTAAAATCTTAACTTGATTAACTGATTTGTGTTGTAAGTAAGACGTTGGTATGGTAAATATCAAGGATATTGCATTCCTGCTTGACAACACTCACGACGTTCTTCCCAACTTCTAAAATGTCCTTCAATGAAGCTATCGATATATCTTTCACTGCTTGACATTGGTGTATGTTCCTGTAGTTTCACCTCGAAATAAAACACACAGGGCTCTTTTCGCATGGTATATCTAAGCATATCGCATACACATTGGGTTGTAAGATTAGTGTAAAGGTTACACGAACTATGCATTGTACTAGTTCCTGTCCCTGTGATGATACATATCCAATTATCAACAGTTAACATCAGTGACACTGTATCCGAGAGTTACGTAATTTACATGTTTGGTGCTCTCTGTGTGTGACTCAACAACAACTAATTCAGGTACTTGTCTGTTTGAGTAGCATTAAAGAAATTGATGAATAATAAGAGAAAAGTACGGTACTTTATGGATGTTACTTCACTGCTTGACAATGGTAATACTATAAGAATCTATACCGACACGTGGCATCAATAATGAAATAAAAAAAGGTATCGCACTTGTCCATAAAATAACGTTCTTATAATTCAGGTGCTTACCTGCAGTCAAGGCTCAGTTGGCCATCTTCAATAAGATATCTGAATCTTTGTTGTTGCAGGATCCGAACGACTGGTGCAAATAAGTTCTTACATGCAGTAAATGATCCTGATTCAGCATCTCTCCTTGCGAACCACTCATGGCCCGACACTGGAAGGTCCACACAGACAATGGTTAATTCTTTAACGAGATATATCAGGCGATTTCAAAATTTGATCTTTTAATATGTATCTTAAAGGTTTTTCATGGCAGTAGCCATGACGGGATATATAGTTGAAGACATTTGTGATGATAAAGAGCCTTATTCAGTCACCAACGACGATTATCATTACATCAGTTCAAATAATAGTGGCTTCATAACTCTTGTTTACACAGTCTTAAATCCATATACTGCACACTGGGACTCTCACTGACTGACTGACTGATTGAATATGGTTAAACGCCGCTTTTAGCTATATTGCAGCAATATCACGACGGGGGACACCAGAAATGGGCTTCACACATGTGGGGAATCAAACCCGGGCCTTCGGCATGACAAGCGAACGCTTTAACCACTAGGCTACCCCACCGCCCCTGGTATTCTCAAGCTTCCAAGACGTCCCATGGGGATGATCCGATTGGCAATATTTGGCCTCGAATTTCGACTTCGAATAAGTTGACAAACGTATAACAAAAGGTTTAATACTTTTCCCCTGTTTGTAATAATTGTCACTGCACATGGTTCTCACAACCAAGAGGCATCAATATGACAGAGTGAGTGAGTTTGGTTTTACTCCGCTTTTAGCAATATTCCAGCAATATCACTGCGGGGGACACCAGGTATGGGCTTCACACATAATACACTTGTTGGGAATCGATCCCGGGTCTTTGGCGTGACGAGCGAACGCTTTAACCACTAGGCTACCCCACCGCCCATCAGTATGACTGCACATACCCCATTCAACGTTGTGTAGGGACGGATCACGGGGCAGTACCAGTTGGAAATCATATTGACACCTATGTTCTGTTTACAAGCCGGTGGGTCGACGTTTATTTGTGTTCCAGGACGAACAACACCCTTCCTGACCGTACGTCAACCGTCGCTCTGTATCGTCTTTGGTTATTGACCTATTTACGTCATGATCCGTGGAACTGCAATCAATATACACATCAAAACGTAAATCAGTAAAATGGTTACCTACCACCAGAGAGAAGAACAGCCGTAACACATGCAAATGCCAACTTCATCTTGACAACGACTTTCTTGATTTGGTTGCCACAGTACGTCCCGTGTCTTTATATGAGTATAGACATTATAATGATTTATCACATGTATTTCAATTACAAAGTAGTCACGCTGTCACCCCAAGCCCCTCACTGAGATAATAGAATAATAGGTTCAAAAATAGCATATTTAGCGGTACTTATTGCTTATTGAGCAATTTAACGGAAAATTGGAATCCTGTGACAACTTTTTGCATACTTAGGAAACAGTCAGACGTGACTTGTCGCCTACACATACCTTTTGGATATTGTAGAGATTTTATGTTTTCAAATTGTAAATAAGACATTTTCCAAATCGTCACAGAAAAATACAAAAAATCGAGAAACTATTTTTCCATAGAAATTACCCTCACTTCAATGTTTACCTTCCTGTCAAAAATAGGGAAACTGCTTTACGTATCACAGAATCCATCCTACCAATGTGTTGCCGATGCTCAAAGTGAATAGAATGTACATTTCGAGTAATGTGGTAGGATAAATATTACACGTGACTCTCATCTTTGTATGGTTGAGCAATATTGATATTGCTTGACTTACCAGCTGCTTTCGTTGCTGTTGACCACGGTTCTTCTTGCAGTCTTGGAGGTGATGTGTTGGAGTAACCGGAACGGCAGTGAACTGGATCAAATCGTATTTATCAGTCTGTGTGTGTTGATGGTAATACAAATGGAAGGTGTCTTCCAGTAAGTGACGTAAGATCTCACAATCTGTTGTCCCGGTTTTTACACACATGTCAGCCTAGATCTGTAGCTCCTTTAAATGTCCAACGCATTGTCTGTTTATATTACCTTTTAAGACTGACATTGTCTGTGTTATATCTATATGAAAGTGGATGAGTGTGAACTTCCTCAAACTCAAGCTTGAGCTGCTGGAAAGCACATATCAACTCAACCTGCCGTCTAATTCAGCTTAATACGCAAGTATCTAGACAGAACAGACAACGTTTGTACACGCCTTAGTCTGTCTCACAGTCCCTGAACCACATTATTTTCAATTCTTCCTAGCACTTTCTGCAATGCTAATGCTATGAATGAAACAAGTCTAGATTCCCTCATCTCTGGTCTCCCTGGGGCTCCTTTTCAATTTAAATGACTTTGTTTGTTACATTCAAACTTATATATTATCGGAGACTAAGCGTCAGTCTATATGCAAAGAGAGAGAGAGAGAGAGAGAGATAGAGAGAGAGAGAGAGAGAGAGAGAGAGACCCAGCGCATATTATGTTATACAGAGAGCAAATGACCCAGCTGGGGACCAACAAATATCCATCTTTAGTATACTGTACCATTACTCTCTGGAATGACAGAACCTCCAGATGGTGCATGCCCTTAAAACAGTTGGGTATTCCTACATATAAATGTTCTAAATATTAGAACAATGACAAGTGTTGACGCGTAATATGTTCGACATGGAACAACGTTTATATCTGTAAAACATAACATCAATACACATCTGACAGCAAACACGTGTCGGATTTAGATTAGGAAGGGCGAATAATCTCTCGGGAGAATCATGTCTGTCAATCGTATTGCGTGTCGTACAGTTGTGACTTACTTGGTATCATGCACCCTTTGGGCATTAACTACCGATGCTTTGTCAAAGTCAAAGTCAAAGATGTTTATTGTATGAAAGGCCTCCGGCCCATATACATGAGAGTTACAGTGATAAAGGGAATATTCTGGATATTTACATATATATTTAAGGGTATACAATTCGCTTTATAAGAAGATCTCTTTTAGCTAAAGCATATTTTATATATAAGGACAATTGAGCAAGAATATTTTCATTATTGGTTTTGTAACAAAGATATATATGCATAATGGGGCTGCTTTGCAAGAAGATGGTGCGGTATATATTTCTGTCTTAATTCGTGATAACAAGGACATATCAGGGTAAAATGAATTTCATTTTCTATTCCAAGGTTACATAAAGGACAATATCGACGTTCTTTCTGGACAGAGGTTTTCTACCCTCATTGATCATTAAAGATAACAAACCTAAACGATATTTTACGAACATTGTTCTTAAACTATATGTTGTAATTATTGATAAGTATTTTTCTGGCTGGAGTAACGTTTTAAAGGTCCTGTAATATTCATATCTTGAGCTTGAGTCTAGGGTGGAATTCCATTCTTGATTGAACATATCTATTGATCTAACACGAAATTCATTCATAAACCAGTTCACATCGCCAATTGTTTGGCTCCAACCATACGAAACCAGAAACCGTGAGAAAATAATAAATTTCTGATATCAGTTACCCAAGTTGTGTTTTCCCAAATTATCCAGATTTAAAAGCATATTGTAAGCTAATTTTGGCAGACGTTGTTCGTGCATATTTAGAACCTTAAACCAATATTTTAAACATCTTATGTGAGAATTGATATACAAAGGAAATCTGCCACATTCGCCATATACCATGCAGTTAGGTGTCTTTGAGCTTACATTGAGGTACTTTTTACAGGCTAAAAGATGCACTCTCAATACAATCAAAACGCTGAAAACCCCATATTTCAGATCCATATAATAAAATGGGTTGAATCTGAGAATTAAATATCTTAAAAACACATTGGGTGACATAGTTCCAACTTTGTATAAAACCGATAAAACTTGTATTAAAGCCCTTTTTCCACGTAAAGTTAAGTTATGTGCACATTTATTCAAGTTCATTCTGTTTGAAAACAAAAACCCTAAGTAAGAATATTGATCGGATACATTAATCAACTGACCATCAAAAAACCAGCGTTCGTTTGTGGCCACGGGACCGCCCCTCCTAAATATCACAATTTCTGTTTTGCTTAAATTTACTGTTAACTTCCATTCTTTAGTATAACTTTCTAAGATATTTAATTGATTTTGTAAACCGACCACAGTATCCGAAACTAAAATAACGTCGTCAGCAAAAAGGAGCATTAGGACTTCTACAAGATCTGGGTACATTTGGATTCCATGTTTTCCAGCTAAATTGATATCGTGATATAATTCACTAATGAAGAAGGAAAATAGGAGTGGACTTAAGCAGCAACCTTGTCTTAAACCAAGTGGGCAATCGAGAAAAATCTGTAACCCCGTCTTTGCAACGCACACAAGATCGAACGTTAGAATACATTGATTTGAGAATGCTAACCATTTTCCCTCGTAAACCTGACTTGCGTAAACACTGCCATAATTTACAACGATTGACTGAGTCGAATGCCTTTTTTTAAAATCTACAAATGCTATGTACAACTTATGTTTTCTTTTTTGATAGCGATTTTGGACTAGTGCATACAGAGTAAATATATATGATCAGTGGTAGAATATCCCTTTCTAAATCCTGCCTGCGATTCAGGAATCTTATCACGCATATTCGCCCAGTTTGATAGTCTATTGTTCAATATCAACGTAAATACTTTCCCCAAGATACTCATTAATGATATACCCCGATAATTATCTGGATCGTTTCTGTCGCCCCTTTTATGAAGTGGATTTATTATAGAGCTTGACCAACTGCAGGGAAAAAATTCCATGTTCATACAGCTTATTGAAACATTTCGTAAGGAACGGCATAATTTCGAATTTAGAACACTTTATCATTTCTATTATGATAAAGTCAGGTCCAGCAGCCTTCCCATTTTTAAGATGATTTATCGCTTCTAATATTTCCTGTTCGGCAATAGGACTGTCTAGTACAAGTTGATCTACTTCTGTATAATAGTCATTATTGGAATCTACAGTGTTAATTTCATCGTCGAATGTTGAGTCTAATATCTCACCGTTTGAATATACATCTTTGAAATGATTTAACCATTGAGTTTTAGTTATGCTATTTCCGGACGTATTTCTTTTTTGTAAATGGCGGATACTTTTCCAAAATGCAGACGGACTGTTTATAGATCTTTCTAACCTTTCTTGTCTGCGGATTCTCATATCAAACTTATACTTTCGACAACAAGCTTTATACTTATTTCTACTTTCGCAATATTTCCGTCTATCATAATTACTACGAGTCACTCTGAATCTACGAAGATGTTTACGAGCATTGCGTCGCGCATTTCTACAATCTGTATTTAGAGTATTTGTTCGGTCTCTTTGCGATTGACATTTTTGAGCATACAATTAGCTGAAGTCGATAACAGTTCCACAAACTCCCGATGCTTTGTCTACTGTGTCTGGACTGTTGGCATGCTTGAAAGTGGGAGACGTCAGCGTACAGTAGCCAATGTTTCACAGTCTGTGAATAGTCTTTGACTATGCAATGCAACACACACCAGCAAACCCCAAATGCTTACGGTCGTGTCGGGATAATATACTGACACCCTCCATTGCCCTGTTTAAAAAGATTTTGTTGGACGTTTTGTCTTTCAGAACAGCAACGCTCGTGATCACAGTACATGAATCGTCAGTACTTACCTCCAGAAACAAAATATCCATAGAATGCCATAACCAGCACTTGGCCCACACATTTCCCCAATTGTAAACGTTGAAAAGAGCTTTGAATCAATAGAACCGATTAGTCTTTGTAGGCTTTGCTGAATAACGTGTTTTCAGCAATGATTTAAAACTGCTTGCTAGTAAAACTGCCTTATACAAGAGTGGGAAACATGAACCGGATACGTTCTTTTATGTGCACCCGTGAAGAACCGGGTTAGACTAACGGGGTTGGGTGGTCATGTCATCGTATGCTGATGTTGTTGATCACTGGATTATCTGGTCCAGACTCGATTATTCACAGACCGCCGCCATATAGATGGGATATTGGTGGGTGCGGCGTAGCATGATTGACTATATTCTAGTCCCATCCTGGATGCAACCACATATCACCAACTGTACTTAATTCCATAATATATAAGTTTGAATGTAACAAACAAAGTCATTTAAATTGAAAAGGAGCCCCAGGGAGACCAGAGATGAGGGAATCTAGACTTGTTTCATTCATAGCATTAGCATTGCAGAAAGTGCTAGGAAGAATTGAAAATAATGTGGTTCAGGGACTGTGAGACAGACTAAGGCGTGTACAAACGTTGTCTGTTCTGTCTAGATACTTGCGTATTAAGCTGAATTAGACGGCAGGTTGAGTTGATATGTGCTTTCCAGCAGCTCAAGCTTGAGTTTGAGGAAGTTCACACTCATCCACTTTCATATAGATATAACACAGACAATGTCAGTCTTAAAAGGTAATATAAACAGACAATGCGTTGGACATTTAAAGGAGCTACAGATCTAGGCTGACATGTGTGTAATGACTGATAATGTATATCTTCCGAATAACATCTGGAGGAAATAAATCTGAATCGCAGGCAGGATTTAGAAAGGGATATTCTACCACTGATCATATATTTACTCTGTATGCACTAGTCCAAAATCGCTATCAAAAAGAAAACATAAGTTGTACATAGCATTTGTAGATTTTAAAAGGCATTCGACTCAGTCAGTCGTTGTAAATTATGGCAGTGTTTACGCAAGTCAGGTTTACGAGGGAAAATGGTTAGCATTCTCAAATCAATGTATTCTAACGTTCGATCTTGTGTGCGTTGCAAAGACGGGGTTACAGATTTTCGATTGCCCACTTGGTTTAAGTCAAGGTTGCTGCTTAAGTCCACTCCTATTTTCCTTCTTCATTAGTGAATTATATCACGATATCAATTTAGCTGGAAAACATGGAATCCAAATGTACCCAGATCTTGTAAAAGTCCTAATGCTCCTTTTGCTGACGACGTTATTTTAGTTTCGGATACTGTGGTCGGTTTACAAAATCAATTAAATATCTTAGAAGTTATACTAAAAGAATGGAAGTTAACAGTAAATTTAAGCAAAACAGAAATTGTGATATTTAGGAGGGGCGGTCCTGTGGCCACAAACGAACGCTGGTTTTTGATGGTCAGTTGATTAATGTATCCGATCAATATTCTTACTTAGGGTTTTTGTTTTCAAACAGAATGAACTTGAATAAATGTGCACATAACTTAACTTTACGTGGAAAAAGGGCTTTAATACAAGTTTTATCGGTTTTATACAAAGTTGGAACTATGTCACCCAATGTGTTTTTTAAGATATTTAATTCTCAGATTCAACCCATTTTATTATATGGATCTGAAATATGGGGTTTTCAGCGTTTTGATTGTATTGAGAGAGTGCATCTTTTAGCCTGTAAAAAGTACCTCAATGTAAGCTCAAAGACACCTAACTGCATGGTATATGGCGAATGTGGCAGATTTCCTTTGTATATCAATTCTCACATAAGATGTTTAAAATATTGGTTCAAGGTTCTAAATATGCACGAACAACGTCTGCCAAAATTAGCTTACAATATGCTTTTAAATCTGGATAATTTGGGAAAACACACTTGGGTAACTGATATCAGAAATTTATTATTTTCTCACGGTTTCGGTTTCGTATGGTTGAGCCAAACAATTGGCGATGTGAACTGGTTTTATGAATGAATTTCGTGTTAGATCAATAGATATGTTCAATCAAGAATGGAATTCCACCCTAGACTCAAGCTCAAGATATGATAATATTACAGGACCTTTAAAACGTTACTCCAGCCAGAAAAATACTTATCAATAATTACAACATATAGTTTAAGGAGAACAATGTTCGTAAAATATCGTTTAGGTTTGTTATCTTTAATGATCAATGAGGGTAGAAAAACCTCTGTCCAGAAAGAACGTCGATATTGTCCTTTATGTAACCTTGGAATAGAAAATGAAATTCATTTTACCCTGATATGTCCTTGTTATCACGAATTAAGACAGAAATATATACCGCACCATCTTCTTGCAAAGCAGCCCCATTATGCATATATATCTTTGTTACAAACCAATAATGAAAATATTCTTGCTCAATTGTCCTTATATATAAAATATGCTTTAGCTAAAAAGAGATCTTCTTATAAAGCGAATTGTATACCCTTAAATATATATGTAAATATCCAGAATATTCCTTTTATCACTGTAACTCTCATGTATATGGGCCGGAGGCCTTTCATACAATAAACATCTTTTTCGACTTTGACTTTGACAAAGCATCGGTAGTTAATGTCCAAAGGGTGCATGATACCAAGTAAGTCACAACTGTACGACACGCAATACGATTGACAGACATGATTCTCCCGAGAGATTATTCGCCCTTCCTAATCTAAATCCGACACGTGTTTGCTGTCAGATGTGTATTGATGTTATGTTTTACAGATATAAACGTTGTTCCATGTCGAACATATTACGCGTCAACACTTGTCATTGTTCTAATATTTAGAACATTTATATGTAGGAATACCCAACTGTTTTAAGGGCATGCACCATCTGGAGGTTCTGTCATTCCAGAGAGTAATGGTACAGTATACTAAAGATGGATATTTGTTGGTCCCCAGCTGGGTCATTTGCTCTCTGTATAACATAATATGCGCTGGGTCTCTCTCTCTCTCTCTCTCTCACCACCACACCCACTTGTCTAGTGCACGAAATATACTTTCTCTGATATACATTCAAACAAAAGTGACTCGCCTCTGCTAATGAAGCGACATTTCGGTGTAGCTTCTTACACCATTATCCATAAAGTCGAATTTTACCCAATTTGAGACACTAAAAAATAACAAACTCATACGACAAACCTTTGTCGTATTTTCTATGCATATACACAAAGTTTATGCCACGTTGGCCACTAACTTCGAATAATCCACTAACGTATACACTATTACAAGTTCTCGTCATTCTGACACTAGACAGATTTTGTTTATTGATATCCATAGACACACATTGTAAATTGGATGTATGTAAGACTTATGTGAATAATATTTACTAGGAACCTGTTATTTGCCTACCCTCAAAATATATACAATGCTGAAAATAGTTTAAAATTTCAGTGATATTCAATGTGTTACAATTTTCGAAGTGTAATACAGTACACCTGTGATATTCAGTGAGATGCAATGGTGTGTTATATTTAGACCTTTGCCATATTTAAACAGAACTTTGAAAGGTCTGCCACCCAATGGGGATGGGGTGGGGTGGCTATTTTGGTCCAGGGATTTGGAGAATCTGGAGTCTGGAGTCTATTTCCTTGGTATATAAGAGGAGTTACTGCTTGCCTCTTATCTCACATTACATCTCAAGATACAAGAAGACCAGCGTTGTGATCAGCATAGCCTGGTTACTCTTCCAAGTTGGATTACTATTGCTGATAGGTAAATAGTACCATTACTGTCTTCTATATCACTGTATTATATAACCTTTGAGTTTGTATTGCCACAATGTTAAACTGTCATAGAGATACATTTGTACTGATTTGTAAACTTGGTCAATTTTAGAATACATTTCTTAATCTTTGTTGTTTCTTGGTTTCTAACTGAGTTCTTTTACGGACTGGTTCCCGGTTAACGTTTTTGTTTCAACTTGGTAGTAGACACGTAACGGTACATATAGTATCTTGACATGATGACTGACTAAAAACCACACTAACTATATAAGTCGTTTTTCTTTCATTGTGACTACTTTGTCACTCGTGACAAGACCATGTTTCTGTATCTCAAATGTTTTTTGAGAAGGCATTTCAGACCAGGGTTCAAGACAAACATTAATTTGCATAATATCAAAACAGCTGTGTGTTCTCTCTTCTTCTCTCGTGTGATGTCTCGACGAATGTGTTGATCACTGGATTGTCTGGTCCAGACTTGATATTTTCAGACCGGCGCCATATAGCTTGAATATTGCTGACTGCGGCGTAAAAGTAAACTCACGCACTCGCTAGACGAATGTCCACTATAAATTTCAGCCCCGTCTCTCCCAACCCCGTGGTGGTATGATACAACGATTAAACATGTCCATCCTCTCTTTAAGACAATTTACAGTGGGTCAGTTGTCTGAACTCACATACAAGGAAAGCATCCAAGTGTTAAATGTACATTTAAAAGGATGGCTTTAATACGGTACCATCCCTGGCTCTCGTCTCAGCGATAGAACAATAATATGAAAACGACGAAATGAATGAAACGATTGTCCACATTTTGATTGATTTATTAGCAAACAATCATTGCAAGATGTTTTGGGCCAATTTGTTGTCACGTGTTATTACGCATTAGTGCCTCTTATCAAAAACAGCCACAATCAGCTGCCGGAAGATGGCGCCAGTAGTGGCAGAGCACTCTGTCAGGTTGGCCACGTTTTGCTCAGCACACAGGGCAAAGGCAGACCTGAAAGAAATATCCATACTTAGAAAATAATTACTTTAAAGAAGGTAGAAAAACATGAAATAGAGGTTTTAGATGTTCTCTACATTGCTGAAACCAAAGAAAGAGACCGGTGTAGCGCTGTCAAACCTAGAGACAAAAGTAGGGGAAATTGTGGATTTGAACCCACAACGAAAGATTTCTGGCAGTCGTAAATAATGTAGGCAAATCTGTCACCAAGATTTGCATTAAAGGCAGGTCCATGCTTCCACGCTCACCTCGGCGACTCGTTGCGGTGTGACCACCCGATCCTGTTAGACGCCACTAACGACAAGCATGGGTTGCTGAAGACCAATTCAAAGCCGGATCGCTGTGGGTCAGTTCACAAGTAATATATTGATACTATATATCTAGATGTACACAAGGTAAGGTTCACCTACCCATGTAAATTACCTCAAGGTAATTATGCAATACTTGAATTAGTTGAGTGAATGGAAATGTGTCATCCCACCTGTCTCGTCCAGCGCATGAAGTAACAGCCGACGGTAAGTTATCACTAGTCCAACATGTAGGCTCGTTCTCGATATCTGTGAAGGATAAACAAGTAACATCAGGTATTAATGAAGGTGTTTACACCCTGGAGCTATAACATTTACAAAGTAAATTGTCAGTGTTAACTTATTGTGATGAATCCACGTGTCACCCAAGTCGGCACGTGGACTAAGTGTGCTCATGAGACTGCTCAGAGTGAGTGAGTGAATTCAGTTTGACGCCGCTTTTAGCATCATTCCACAATATGTTGGGAATCGAACATGGGTCTTTAACCATGCATTAACCACTAGGCTACCCCACCGGCCCCCTGTTCAGAGACATCAGTCGTGTACCTGTTCTGTGGCGACAGAAGGCATTCAGTGCAATGTTGAGCTGCCTGGCCGAGAACTGTGAGCTGCACATTACGAACGAACCGTTCTGGCATTCGTCCGCTTTCGCCAATGTCTGTTCGCTGCAAAGAGAAAATATTATGTATAAGCACTTTTGCCTTGTAGTCGAATAAGCATAATTCGAAAGGTATCATGCAAATATTTATCAAATAATAAAAGGTCGCCTGTGATTTGTTAGTATCTATCTTTTTTGCATGTGGGACAACATCTTTAATATTGGTAGTGAGGTGGTTGAGTGAAGATACTGACAGCTTTGTCAATACGGAAATGTAATTAATAGTAATCAATAAATTATTATTTAACAAGATGACTCTTGCCTCTTGTCATATGTATAATGATTTCAGTACACTACAGTTGTTCATGTTCCCATAGCTTTACGGTATGGTGGCAAACGTGTGTGTGTGTGTGTGTGTGTGTGTGTGTGTGTGTGTGTGTGTGTGTGTGTGTGTGTGTGTGTGTGTGTGTGTGTGTGTGTGTGTGTGTGTGTGTGTGTGTGTGTGTGTGTGTGTGTGTGTGTGTGTGTGAATAAAAGGCATTGTTTTGCAAGGTTTTATCCGCGAATTGTGATACCAACCTGCAGTCAAGGCTCAGTTCGCCATCTCGGATAAGATACCTAAACTGCGGTTGTCGCATGATCGCATTCATCTGTGCATATATGTTTCGACATGCAGCATCTGGTTCCGCATCTCTCCTTGAAAACCACTCATGACCGGACACTGGAACGGCACATAAACAAAGATATAAACTTCTACGAAGGTTACATAGCACCTATTTCCTTTAACCAAAACTTTGACGACACATATTTGATAGTCATGTTGTTCCATGTGTAATCGCAAAAGGTTGACTGTTGTAATATGCATGGCAGGATATCACAGGACATGCGTCACTGTGAAGGATCATTTCATCAATTGGAAAATGATAATAAAACAACAATACCATATCTGGGTCAAATCAAAACGCGTCAATTTTTCTCAAAGTGATCGCAGCGACAAAATCAATGCTGGTGTCGCTGAACACTGTTTTGAATATCTTTTTTCAAATACAATTTGGAAGGAGACATTCTGGTACCGTGTTAAAAACGGATTATAGCCACGACGCATAGTGAATTTGAATCAGCCATCAATAATTGAATGCCAGTTACAGAATGTTGTGTGGGACTGAATGTGTCCAACGCTACAATCCAACTGCGACAGAAACTGAGCGTCATTAACTGAAGGGTCTCCCAAGGGTCTCTCGCCACACATATACATACATGTAAGCAAACTAGCGTCAATATGTCTGAAGTATGGGGTATGTCGTGTTATGACTACGTAACACTGATTCGGTGTTTTTTATGTAACTGAAAAAAGGTTGACCATAAACAAAATCAAAAGTGCAAGATTGAAGGTGATTTAAGAAGCCACCCAAAACACACACCTGAACACTTCCAGCGTGTCAGCCCATCCTAATGTGAAATAATAAACACTCAGCGTGAGCATAAATTGGGGATTCAGTCCAGGTGCAACTGAACCGCATTTTTGGAATTTGAAAATGCGACATATACCTCTTACTATCTGCAACTCCACACGGGTACAATGCGTGAAGCCCATTTCTGGTGTCCCCCGCCGTGATATTGCTGGAATATTGCTAAAAGGGCGTGAAACGCACTCACTCACTATTATCTGCAAGGCCCGTTAATAATTCCGCTGAGTATACATACATACGAAATTAAATAGGTTACCTACCAGATGAGATGAGAACAACCGCAACACATATCGCAAACTTCATCCTGGCAATAAGCAGCTGATGTGCTAGATGCGACAGAACATGCCATGCTTTTATACAAGACATGATGACAAATGTTAATGACCGTTCCCAATTGTTTCAATTGTAAGAGTAATCATCATGTCCATTCATGTAAAGTGTAAAGGTTATCACGAAATATCTGTTAATATTCAGTTAAATGCATAACACGTCGACAATCATCCTCTTTTCCTATATATATATATGTTAGTGTACAACTAAATCTGACGGTATAATTGAGGGAGACATTAACTCAAGTGCAGTCTCCATCTGCGTGATAACCCAGCCCAACGTTTCCCCGCAGAATAGGTCGTCGGTGTCTATTGCATACTGTATATTATTGACTCAGCCGAACCACTGTTCATGAATTCGTCGGCCGTTCTGCTGACTGCTTATTAACGATCTTTTCGCGAAGGTCTGTGTCCCCACTATTTGATATGTTCACGATTTAGTTAGGATCGTGTTATTAAATCTGCTTTTGACAGAGATTTCTCCCCAAAGGCTGTATGACAAAAGAGGGATACTTAACCTGTTCAGTAGTTTAACTTACCCTTTCTGTGGAGTAGTATTCCAACGGCCCCAACCGTTTACATTTACCACTTGTTAGGTACATTGGCGCATGCTCCTGTTCTCAAGACTTTTAAGAGCTTCATACAGGTCTTGCTTTGAAATGGTCCGATCAGGGTTACAACATTCAAGGCCTCTGACGTGGAGGACTTTTCTAAATTTGACACAACAGTCACCAACATCAGTTGCAAATCCCTATTTCATCTTATACTATACGTATATTTTTTCAGATGAACACCTTACTAGCTTTTGTGTTTGCATTTGACGTGTGCTACCGGGGAGGCATGATGCGCCCACCTTTTCGTGAACACCTGGTAAAATCACTATTGATTCTTGAACACATGACCATGGCATAGTCAGACTTGTACAACCGTCTCTGTAGTTTATTGAAAATTCTTAAGGATGCATATCGGCATATATGTTATGTTTGACACTGGCACCGTTTCCTTATATACAACCTCTTCAACGAACCTGTCTGCAGTGGCACCCAACTGGCATGTGAAGAATGTCGTTTATTTATGTATGTTATCTTATCTTATCTTATCGTATCGTATCGTATACATGACATATGGATTCGAGTGTTATGTTTAGGTGGAGCTTCCTTTCCTTCCGCTGTCGAAAGCATAAATATCGTCCTTTAAAAAGTTGGATATATTATGTTCCTGTATATCTTATAGCTTGAAATGAAATGAAGAGACACGATTAGCCTTAGTGGTTTAAGCCTTCGTTTGTCACGCCGAAGACCAGGGTTCGATTCCCCACATGGGTACAATGTGTGAAGCCCATTTCTGGTGTCCCCCGCCGTGATGTTGCTGGAATATTGCTAAAAGCGGCGTAAAAGTACTAAGACCATACTCACTCACTCACTCACTATTTTGGAAGCTTTTTATTTTCCGGTTTTCCGTAACTATGGGTAGGGTTTGTTTCTGGAGAATAACTGAAATATTGTTCAGTATTTCACGGTCATGCTTCGGCACGGGTATCTGTCTAGTCATGAAATCGTGACTTAAGAATGTTTAACATTATACTTTTGTCAGTGCGAGTTTGTAGTAGCAATTATAATTTAATCGGTTTTTAAGACAACAAACCCGTTATATATTGCATTACAAAGATCAGATAAGTATATGTCAAAGCAAGGATGTCATAGTTTCTAAGCTATAAGTCCCAACTGCATCAGCTGGAACCTTGGGCTTGAAGTGCTTAAGTTATCATTAAGGCTGTAGGGTCAGGCTATTGGGAAAATGTTAGATTGGTTGGCTACTTCTGTCTGATGACAATTAAATAACACGTTTCCTTATATCGCATGGAGTCCCATTTGATATGCCATTATTTTAGCTTCAGGTAAGTCAATCTCCATGCCAGTATAATTACAGAGATGCTATAAGGTAGTGATTTTCTTTAGTAACTGTGGCACCCGTGAAGAGCCACCTCCTCGTGGTGGGTGCTGGGTCACGCTAAGAGCTTTTCAACCCCCCGTGTGGACCCGGGGGTATATTTGGTTCACCAACCTGTTTGCCGTGGGTTGCGCCACTGTGTCGGTGGAGGACGGGAGTCTGGTAGTTGAGGGCACTGGGAGCTTGGAACAGTGTTCCTTTTGCCCAGCACACCACTTGGCCCCTTACTTCACCTAGACGGGTGGTTGAATGGGCCAGGTTTAACCAATCGGCTGGTCATGCCAAGCCCTGTGTATTATTGTGTTGCACAAAATATCTCAACTTTTTAAAATGTTTTGTCATAAGTCTTGGCCAAATGATCTTTCAATTGAATTTCAAGTGCATCTTTGCTAATTTTGTAATTTGTCTAGAGACTTATACCCAGAAGGCGGTGGCTCATGGGCCAATCTGATCGCATCCGTGGTGTAGTGGTTAGAGCGTCAGCCCGGAGAGCGGAAGGTCGCGGGTTCGATCCCCGACCGCGTCATACCAAAAGACGTTTAAATATGGTACTTGTTGGTCCCTGCCTGGCGCTCGGCATTAATGGGTACAACAAGGACTGGTCGACTCGGAGTCAGTATTATGCGTCTGAGTGGGGTATTCATGCTTCACTGCGGCATGGTATCTCAGTGGGCTAGCACTATAAAACCAGCTTCAGTCTGGGCTAGTACAAGCAGCCGCACATACACATACACACGCATGTACGTCGTCATATTCTCAAGCACGACGTTAAACCCAATTTCACCTCACCTCACCTCATGGGCCAATCTGGTGGAAGAATTCATCTTTTAGTTTTTCTGCTGGAGTATATCATGCGAGTATCCCTGGTGCTGCAAGTCGGAGACCCACTTGCTGTTAGCATTGTCTATATGATACTCCGTGGTGGGTAAGGGAGCTCGGATGATGAAACTTATACACTTACTATGGAATACAAAAAAAAATACTAAAACGAAACAAACGTCCATTGGACAGTGGTGATGACGACCAACGACCTCCGAACTCAAACGAATATTGCCCACGATTTCTAGTTATCGAGACACTTGACAAATCACCTTTAAAACTCAATCCTTTTGCAGTATCAAAGGTGTACATGGTATTGCAGGTGAAGTCCGTAATATATAACAATTGCGCACTGGATCTCTGCTCATAGATTGTAATAGAAAACAGCAATCAACAAATCTGATGTCAACTGAGCTGTTCGTTGGAATACCGGTTTCGGTTTCTCCGCATAGAATTTTGAACTCAAGTAAAGGAATCGTAAGAGACCGGGACCAACTGTTTGCTGATATGAATGAACTGGACATCGTCTCAGAAATGAAGGACCAAGGAGTGACTTTTGTGAAACGATTCACGATCCGGAAAAATTCTGAAACTAGACGAACAAATACCTACTTATTCCATTTTTCTTCTCCAACTGATCCAACATCAATTAAGCATGATATTGCAACATCAACGTTGACATTTACATTCCAAACCCACTGAGATGTTTTAACTGTCAAAAGTATGGACATGGTGTCAATAGCTGCACAAATTCTATAACATGCGCTCACTGCGGTGAAAAAACTCATGTAACTGAAGATTGTGATAGTAACTTTAAATAATGCACAGACTGCTCTGGCACTCATTCATCTTTTTCCAAAGAATGTCCACTATGGAAACAACAAATGGAGATAAATTAAATTAAATTCACAAGAAATATTAGTTTTGCTGATGCCAGAATACTTGTTGTTCAGACCCCAGAACCAAATGAGTCATATGCCTCAATTACTCGAGCATCCACTGGAATGAATCAAAAAGTAACTGCAACTATGTCCACTTCATCCACATCATGGGTCAAACTGATTTGGCATGGGTTGACACGGATACACTTGAGGTATACTCACCTCACCAGTCAACGCAAACTGTTGAATCACTATCAAAAACACCAGTCACAGTTGAAGTTCAATCTCGGTCGAATGAAAAATCATCATCACAGTCTACTCCAAAACTTCCAACTGGAAATTATAAGTCAAACCAAAGAATGAATGTTCTAAGAAATACCATAGTGGCAAAGCCTCAAAAGGGGCAGAAGACAAGATCCAAATATATTATAATTTTGGATCTCTTGAAGCCATGGGCGTTTCTGAAAACTGGCAACGGGTGAGGCCTGAAGTTGACCTATTTCTGACAAAGTTCAAGAAATCAGAAACTAATGAATTACAATATGAACAAGAATATAATCGATTAAAACTAAAATATAATACATACAAATCCTTATTCACAGATGGGTCCAAGGACGGAGGCGCAGTGGCATTTGCCACTGTCTTTGGATCCAGAACAATATCTTCTAGAATACCGGATAACAGCTCTATTTTAACAGCACAAGCAAACGCCATATTAACGGCTCTTCAATATATTCAAAGACACACTAAACATAAACAATACATTATTTTTTCCGAATATCTTTCGTGCCTTCAGGCTATTAAAAATCTTTCTTGTAAACATCCACTTTTAATAGAAATTATTTAATTGTATAATGAACTTGCTACTGGCCAATGCGACATCGTCTTTTGTTGGTTACCCAGCCATGTTGGCATTTCTGGGAAAACAATGGCCGATCTTGCTGCCAAGGCAGCACTCAGCAAATCTGTGACACCACTTCTTATCCCATACTCTGATTACAAAGCTAGCATTATAACCTACATCCGTGATCTGATGCAGTAGATGGGACACCCAAGTAGGTATCAATAAATTCGGGAAATAAAACCTTATATTGGTTACACCTACTTGGGTTGTCAGTCCAGATTTGAGGAGGTCATTTTGCGACGATGTCGCATTGGCCATACGCGTTATACGCACAAATACCTGTTTAAAGATGAAGATCCTCCGTTTTGTTTCCCTTGTGATGTGAGAGTCACAGTCAAGCATACCCTGCTTGACTGTGTTGAATTCTCCGTCATAAGGGATAAATATTTCTATGTAAAAACAGTGGAGGAACTTTTTACAAATGTTAATTTTCATTTAATTATTGTTTTTTAAAAAGAAATTGATTTA